AAAATTCTAAAAAGGTTATTATAATTTGACTTGACCAAATACATTTTTTAAAACAAATTGTCTTATGCTTATTTGTCCATCTGTCTGTCCAATCCGTTTTAGAGCCATTTTGTTTAAGCCCAACATTTCCTTTTTAAAATCTTTTTGGATTTTAAAAGTATTTGTCTATAATGAAAGTTGGCTTATAGAAAAATGTCACTGCAGTTAAAGACATGCTTCCCCTCAGACTGTCAGTTGATCAAAATGATGTCAAGAGTGGTTTTACAAATGTAATACGTACAGTTGTCTGTGTATGATAACTCAGTAATCTTTCATTGGTCAAGAAGAATGTGTTAATTGTTATGATCTGGTTCTCACTGGTCATCTAAAATATATTTAAAAAATTGAATGGGGACCCTTGGGCTTACAGAAACTGTTAGACAGGACTCCCTTTGATAAATGAAGGAGCAGTTACCTGGAAATATCATTTGTTTCATCCTTTGTTCACAAAGGGGAGCCCAGCAATTTCTATAGCTTTATGGGAGACTCACCTTAAGAAACATTGCTAAACATATTATTTTGATAGGTTTACATTGGTCATCACCAAAAGCTTAAGTTTTCTGTGGGAAAAGGTAAAGGTGTTATTAAAAGATGCTCTTGGGTTTCATATAACTGTGATACTCATTATTGCTAATTTCATGGTATATTAAATATATTCATGCCTTCTCTGTGTACGGGGCTTCTAAGATGTTGTTTATAGTAATAACTTTTTTTTTTTAACTCAGGTATCTGACTTTCTCATGTGTTCCAGCTACTTGTGATAAAAGATACATGTCAAGCTAGCATGAGATCACCAGTTAAATAGTTTTATATAATATATATGTTATATGTGTCACTACACTTGGGGATGCTCAGGAACCAAACAGTCTAATGTCACACACTAAAAATTAGAGGCTAAACATTATAAACTTCTAAGGTACATTTATAGGGTGGTACATTCTCCTTAGATGGCATATATTAAAGAATAACAATTTCCAGGAGAGTTTTTTTGTGTGTGTGTCATTTAATATCTTGTGATCCAATGGAGATGTTTGACTAAAAGGCGATTCTCTACTAAGATGGACATTTAAGTGTGTTACAAAGATAATGTAATCACGCTTGTGCTAAAATACTGTGTAGCTCTTGATCTTGTGTTCTCCATAAAACTATATAACCATTGTCTGTTAACATTCTATAGGGATTCAATTATTAGCACAACTGTGGTTGATAAGAAATAATAGTCCTATAACCATACTTTCTATTTCAAAAGTGTTTGCTGTCCAGACAAAACTATAATAGTTAAGCTCACTGTTCCTACTACACTACTAATGTCACTCATATTTTCTTCTGGGTTTTCAACAACTAAAGTTTAGAGACCAAAACTAAAAAGGTAACTGGGCTAAGAGAACAGCCAATATTTTGGCCCTGACCTTCCAAAGGTAAAGGAGGTCTCAGGACATGAGGGAACCTTTTCTACAAGATCTTAGGACTTTGGTGAGTCACCTAACCTCTGGAATAGGGAGATTGCTAAAGGAGAGTCACCAGGAAGAAAAATCTCCCATGCTTTCATAGAAAACATGGTCAAGCAAGGCCATGGTCAAGCATGACCCATCCTGCTGGATGACATTGACAGGAACTTTGAGGCTGTATACGTGATTCCAAAGTAATGCCTGAGGAGACTTAACTGACCTTGATAGGTAGCAAAGGGTTAATTTTGATTGACACAGGTCTCACTTTATCTTGGTCTTAAGCATCTAGTAGAAAAGTATAACTAAAGATATTAAATGAAGACCATAGTAATAAAGCTAGATATAAAAAGAGGCTCCCATTGCTGACCCCTTCTGGCAATTTCCAGCTACACCAGTAGCTGACCACTGTTACAGGTCATTAAGAAAAAATATAGTAAAAGGTATAAGAGATCAACAAAAAATTTTAAATTTCTTAACTAAAATTGTCCTTCAAAAACCACCTAACTCTGTCTTCTTACAGCTAAAACTAGAGAGACTTATGATAAAATATCAAACTTATAGATAACCTCCATCATAAAGGGATCTAAGTGCCAGCAGGTTATAGTCACTATTTCAGTCCCTTAAGAACAGTTTCTAAAAGTAGCTCTTTCTCCAATTGCCTTTCCATTCTAGTGCTCATGCTTTGATTATAAATGATTTAATTTCTTTAAAAAAATTTTATTCTTGCCTAGAGGTTATCAAACTGCAAGCACTCATACAGATGGAACTAAAAGCAAGCATGCTGCACTCCTTTTACCAGGATCCACCAGATTGACCTTGTAGAGAAAGTTCCTAACTGCTAAACTGCAACGTGACTTCTACCTGAGGCCCATTAGATTAGCTCTCTGGAGAGGGAACCTGACTAATGGTCTCCTCTACATCAACCCTTCTCAGCTCCAAGCAGTTAGATAGAAATGGCTCATTTGCCCCTAACCACCATCAGGGATATTTCTTACCAGGGGGAGTATTGTAGACAGCTAAGCTAGTAGAAACTATTATAAGGCAGTTTGGCAAGGATGGGCCCTCAGCACCAAAGACAATTGTGACCTGAGGCTCATTCACTAATGTCCAGGCTTCAAGAAAAAGAGGAAGTACTTCTTACTCTCACTTCCCCTAAGGATGAGCAGAGGTGACTGGTATTCTAAATAGGCATCAATCACCTTGGGTAGAGACCAAAATTCCCTAGCCCATTCCTTCCCAGAAATCCTTATGCATTCCATGCATGCTTGCTACATGACTTGCTTCCCCATTTGGTCCCCATTTAATCGATATTATCTAAGTGACTGTACTTGTTGTAATCTTACTGGTCGATCACAGTTTTGTCCCACCTCATGATTTCCTAAGGATCAATACTACCTGAGTGACTATACTTATAATCTTATTAGCTGACTAGCTTTGTCCCACCTTGAACCCACCTCACCTCATGGCTTTGTTCAATAAAACACCTATGAGAAGCAGGATGGGTAGATAACCCACTTTCTGGTCCCCCTCTGTCTCTCTTAGATGGAAACTATCTTTCCTTCAATTCCTTCCTACTTGTAACCTCCATTATTCCCAAAATTCATTCTTTGATTTTAGAAAACAGGAAGTTGACATTACAGATATCCAGCAGGTTGGAAGTTATATTTCCCTTATATCATTTGGATTATTTAGAGGCCTTTTATCATATGCCTTATGTCACTAGGGCAACTTTCTTATGGGTTTATGTTAATTTTCCAGCTTCTTTAAACATTTACTCCATGAGCTCTAATTCTAGTTCTCATCATGGACTAAGCTGATGATTAAAAATGAAGGCATCAGGATTTAGGGTTGTGAGGGTTGTGTCCTTGGGAAAGTCCATGCACAAAGCCCCCACATTTTACAATTCTAGGGCACTGCGCCTTACCCCATGGTATCGCATGTGAGTGGTGCTTGTAGAGTGGAGCAAAGTAGAGACTCTCCACATGCCTGCGTATTCATTCATTCATTCATTCATTCATGCACAACACCCTGATTGAGGTGAGCAGATGCCATTCCTATGTGCTGGGGAGACAACAATAAACACAGTGGATGATAATCCCTGGTCACAGAACCTGAGTCCTGGCCTTTTGACTATTTTTTTAAAAAGGAAGAAGCACCTTTCCATCCAAACAAAACGCATTTGTATATAGAACTCAGCCCAAGGACTACTGCTTCGTGTCCTCTGCTTTAGCCTTTAAATTCTTTCTACGACCTTGGAAGTTTTAGCCACGGGGGTGAAGTACAGCTATGGACCGAGCACAGGTTTCCATCCACTGCTCAGCTCAATCTTAATGAGAATGCTCCGTACATAAAAGCGCAGCTAATTAGTTTTCAATTAAAATTTTACATCCCACTGCAGAGTCTACACCTGCTGCCATTTTCCTTTTTCCTAGAAAAGAAAACATAAACTGTAGCGGTGATTTATTAGGTAAGGGGAGAGGACAATGAGGATGAAGAGGGGTCGTGGTATTCTGTGAAAGCCTTACCTGCCTAACTGCTCTGGAGATTAATAAGAAAGTCACCAAACATTCAGAGTTTACTCCCAACCACCTATACATTTGATTCATTGTTTTTTTTTCAAGTAAAAAAAAGAAAATCTAATAATTCAGGTATTTTTAGAAGTTGTGCTAAGAAAAACAGGGAACTGCTGAATTTAAAGGACTTTTCTGAAAAGTAACTTATTTCTCAGTCTTACAGCATCTTCCTGCCATGCAATGAAAAGTTTTTATGTGATCTACATGGAGGCAAAATGGGGCTGCAAGAATACCTGGTCACCCACCTCCTGTCATGTGTGGAGGGTTTTTTTGTTTGTTTGGTAAGAGATGCTTCAGTAAAATCAAAAAGAAAACTTGTATTAAGTTTCAGCAAACAGCTTCAGAGAAATGCTCTGGTGATTCTCAAATAGTTTGAAAGTTTTCCACCTCACGACTCATTTTGCATTTTCTTAAATAAGGTCATGGTTCAAAAATATTTAAAGGACCCGGGTAACAAATCTGGTGAAGAGACAGTCATGGTATAAAGATATAAAGTCCACGTGTAAACATTCCTCTAATCCACGAAGTTGAGCAAAGACCAATTGGGGTTACTGTTTTTTTTCTATCTGCCTCCCAGGATCCTTTTCTCCAAACCCCTGATAAATTAATAATAATCAGAGGAGAGAGTGCAACCATATTAATCTATGCAGAATATTTAATTACTTTCCCTAAAGAAGTTAGTTTGGAAGCCTTTCCTAAAAGCTGTCAAAGGTCTCTCTCTCCCTCTCTCTAAATCACAAAGCAAAATTCCACTGTCTCTCCCCCACCCCTTCTTAAAAAAAAAAAAGTTGTCGAGTTTGAGTTTTGCTTTTCTATTCACTGCAGTCCTGGCCAAAGTAAAGCCCTCTTTCTCAATGACGTCAAGATCTTTAGCAAGATTAGGCTTTCATTTCTCTATTGCGGCAATTAGCTAGAGAATATATAAAAGGCTTCGGGGAGACTCACTGGGCTGTAGAGGGAGGCACTTTGCACACAGACAGATAGCAGGGAGGAGAAGCCAGAGGGAGTGAGCACCGCACTCAGTCTGCTTCTGGAGAAGGGAGAGAGAGTGAGACAGGCTGGGAGAAGAGGAACAGAAAGTGTGTATAAAATGCAGTAAAGAAAGAAAGAAAAAAAAAACTACCACTAAAACACATTTTTAAACCAGCAATTAAGAAAGAGACAGGCTACGTTTAAAGAACACAGAGACAATGAAAAGCTAAGGAGAACTTTGCAGTCTCTTCCAGTCTCATAGGTGCTTGGAAATGAAAGTAGAACAGCGTGTCTTTAACGGACTCTGACAGGGGTAACTGGATTAGGGACGGGGGCGCCAGTTTCTTTCTTTCTTTCTTTCTTTTTTTTTTTTTCAACATCTTAAATCCTGAAAAAAAAAAAA